CTTTTTCAAGGAACAAGATCAACACCTTTACCGAAAACTCTTAAGACACAAGTTCCTTCACTAAGAATTATTCTACAAAAGACGCTTTACCAAATGCTATTTCATCAAAAGAAGAAGTGAAAATAACCTCGGAATATGACCAGGTTCTTAGGTTGATTCCATTATTGGGATGTTTTATAAAGCTTGGCTTGGTGGATCAAATATGAAGATAGTTAAGAGATTTTTTTTCAACCTTTTCTTGAAATATGAGTGCTTCTCCATTTCCTTTAGAACAGAGAGTGAACTTCTATATTCACTATGCCTATTACCAAAAAGCTAATTAAACTCTCACTAACCAATACATTAAAGTTATATTTGGTACACAAGATTAAGATAAGATAAAATGATATTATGAATATGATTAGATTAAATAATATTATCTTATTCTGTATTTGATGTATGTAAGGAGTAAGATATGATAATTTATTTATTTGTTAAAATTATCCTTTCTCAAAGTTTATATAATTTAAATTATTAATGTAATTTTTAAGAGTATAATTAGACATGTAAGTTTAATCTTATGGATTAAAAATAATCCTCTCTACTTAGGGGGATTGAATAATCCTATGTTAAAAGGGTATTAATCCCCCTTGCAGTCCCTATCCCACTTTTTAGATATAAATCAAATATGATATAGGATGATTATCATCCTATCCTATCAATAATCTTATATATCAAACATGACCGAATAACTTTTATAATGGTCAATTCTCTCATTATTTACCATTATTCCTATTCAATACTCAAAATATGTAGCTTCTATTTTTTAAACTTATAAATAGGAGTTTTCAATATTCATTCGGAGACTTTCGAGACTTTTAGTAAACTTAGTCAATTCTCTTTGTAATTCTTTCTTCCTAAATCTATTTTTCAGTTTCATTCTCTTCCTTACTCAGCATTACTTCACCACCTATCATCACTTGCTTCTACACTCAATAATTTAGGATATGCTCCAATCTTCCTCTCCACCATCACCCTGCACATCTTATTTTACTTGTTTACATCGCTTTCTCACCTCAGCAAAGAACCCCTCTACACCAGCTTGATTGGAAGACTATGTTCTGTGTAATGATAATGATCTATCTGACGAGGAGATAGTTAATTTTGCTTTTTTTGCAGATTGTGATCCTGTCACTTTAGAAGAAGCTTCAACTAATTCTCAGTGGTTGGAGGCCACGGACAAAGAAATTCAAGCAATTTTAAAGAATGACACTTGGGAGTTGACACATTTACCTGTTGGTAAGAAGCCAATTGGAGTAAATAGGTATGCAAAACAAAGTACACAAGTTAAATGGTGAAATTGATCGCTTCAAAGCAAGGTTGGTTGCTAAAGGGACAAGCAAAAGGCTGGTATTGATTACTTTGAGGTATTTGCTCCTGTTGCTAGACTTGATACAGTTCGAATGATGATTCTCTTACTGCCCAGAATAATTCGAAATTGTATCAAATGGATGTTAAATCTGCTTCCTCGAATGGTTTTTTTTTGGAAGAAGAAGTGCATGTTTAACAGCTTCCAGGGTATGTGAAGAAAAGGCAGGAAAATGTAGTGTGCAAGTTACAAAAGGCACTGTACAGGTTGAAACAAGCACGTAAAGCCTAGTACACACATTGATTCTTATTTTGTACATCAAGGATTTTTGAGATGTCCATATGAACATGCCTTATGTATCAAAAGTAATGAGCTTGGTAACATTCTCTTTGTCACTCTTTATGTTGATGATTTAATTTACTGGCAACAACTCAAAGATGATTGCAGAATTCAGGAGTGAGATCAGTCAGTTTGAAATGACTGACCTGGGGTTAATGTCTTATTTTCTGGGTATTGAAGTTATGCAGATGAATGAATGCTTTTTTATTTCACAAAAGAAATATGCTGGAGATATTCTAAAGAAGTTCAAAATGGAGAATTCCTAGCCAATCTAGACACTAATGGTTGAAAACTTGAAACTGATGAGGGATGGAACTAGCAAAGATGTGGATCTCTCAAATTTTAAAAGTCTGATAGGTAGTTTGGGATATTTGACTGCTACAAGACCAGATATTACTTTTGGAGTTGGATTTCTGAGTAGATTCATGGAAGCACCACAAGGAGTTCATTTGCAAGCAGCCAAGCAGATTTTGATATCTGTCAAAGGCACTCAAAGTGAAGGAATTTTTTACTACCCTACTAATGCTTCACAACTCATTGGTTATATGAATAGTGATTGTGCTGGTGATCTTGAAAGTAGAAAAAGTAAATCAGGCTATGCTTTTCATTTTGGAACAGGGGTAATGTCATGGTCTTCAAAGAAGCAGTAGGTAGTGGCTCTTTCAACTGCAGTAGCTGCTAGTTGTGTTACTCGAGTAGTGTGGTTGAGAAAAATTCTTGAGTTTTTGTTTCATAAACAGAATGACCTTGCACCAAATTTCTGCAATAACAAGTCAACAATTGCATTGACAAAGAATCCAGTCTTCCATGGTCGTTCGAAGCATATAGACACAATGTTTCATAAGATTCATGAGCTGGTTATTAAAAAAAGAGAGACATCTATTGAATTTTGTTCTTCAGAAGAGCAACTTGTACATATTTTTACAAAACCATTGAAGTCAGAGACATTTTTTAAATTGAAGGAGAAGCTTGGAATGATGAAAATAGAAAATCTTGTCTTAAGGGAGGCAATGTAGTAAGTCAAGATTTTTGGTTAGTTGAAATATATGTAGTGGGAGAACATCAGTTAGTGGCAAACATTGTTTTTTTTTTAATTATTATTTATTTTATTTTTTTTATCTAATCGGTGTGGTTTGTGTGTGTAAATAAGTGTGTGATATTTGTGAATGTAGTGTGTCAGTTTGTGATGTCCGTTTTTAAAGAATGAATTTTTTTCAGCCTTGTCCTTCCTTGTTTGATTTGCATCAATATTTATAAAGCGAGCAATATTTTAATTTAAGATATGAAATAATAATTTTATTAATATATGTAAAATTAAATAAAAATAAAAAATATATATTTCAAAATAAAATATCTTAAAATTTGCTTTTGATTCTACCCATTTAAAAAAAAAATACTTGATTTATTTCTTATTTGACATTCTATTTAAAAATTTTTTATCAGATTAAAATTGATTGAAATTTACTTGATATAAGTTAATTTGTCATCTCTAATTATATATTCTTTAAACTATAATCACGCACAACAAATGAGACTTAATTTACGGTCAAGTTTTCTTCATATCACATATAGGTTTTCTAATATTCAGATCACAATCATCATAGAAAGAAACAATCATTCAAAGCTTAATTTGCATACATACAATGGTTCAAAGCAATGAAGTAATGATGAAAGCTTGTGAAGGTGAAAAATACAGCCAAAATCAGCTTTGAAAAGGACATCAAATTCGACTCCCAAAAATCCTAGACAATTCGAGTGAGTTTAAGTTTGAAGCCATCCTATTCGTAAAAGAAAAACATAATGCAAAGGTCTGGTTGAGCCCACAAAAGTCGCACAAACTGTGCATTTAGTTACTCGCCTCCTCTTGAAATCCTAAAAATTCTCTCTGCTGGAATGAGGAAGCAGGACATATGATGTGTTGAGCAAACTTGCAGAGGGTTTCGCGTTTTAGTAAACTAATGAACTTGATTTGTATTATCTTCAAAATTCCAAGATTTGGATAGAATTTATTCAAAAATTAAAACAAAAAAATATTGATTTTTTTCCTTTATTTTCTTTTTTTCAATATATTTTTATTTTAAAAAATAAAAGATTTTAGAAATTTATTACTTAGACAAATGATAGTCAACCCAACCTATGAATTATCCATAGTCGAAACGCTCTTCGTAAAACTAGCTCTGAGGTATCTATAAAGGTCACTCGACAAAAATCGACCTAGACTTTGTGTAAAAATAATATGAGAGTTATATTTGACAAAAGAGTTATAAACAGTCAGAATCATGATAAAAAATTTTCACAATGTGATTTGTGGTGAAGCATTGGTTCTTACCCTAACATAATCAGACAAACTAGCCACTTGTGCCGTTGAGAGCTTGGGCAAAACCTAACCTGAGAATTACTTATAGAAGCCATCCGACAAAAACCGACCCAGACTCTTTGTGTATAAATGATATGTTCTCACAATATCAAGCCAAATGTCAAGCAATAAATAGTCCAACAAAAATATAAACACTCCAATAAATCCTTATTTGATATATTCGCAGTCATTTGTGAAGTAACACAAATATAAAATTCAAAAACCTTCCATTTTAGAGGTGTCAAATGTATTGTATTGATATAATTTATTTAAATATTAATTTATGTGTCACTAAATTATATCAATTCAAAATTATTTTGTTTAATGATTATACTGATACGGTTTATAAGAATGTAAAAAATATGATCCAATATAATATATAATTGTAATTTTATGAATAGTGTTAAGCTAGACATTATTTTTTGTGTCAAATCATATGAAGCATGATTCATTAGCAATTTTTAAAAATATTTATTAAATTTTTTATTTTTTATTTATTATTAAAAATAATATGTAAAATAAATAAAAATAAAATAAAAATATATAATTTACATGATTTGATAAAAACATAGAATAAAAATCTAAATAAAATGTAGACTATATAGATTTATCAAATTATACACGCCTAAAAACAATTAAAGGAATGAGAAAAATGAGGATTTATGCTAAAAGAAATTAAAAGATGATGCTCCTTTTTTTTTGTTGATTTTTTATTTTTGAGATGTTTTAAAATTATATTTTATTTTTTAAAATGTTTATTTTTTTATATTTTAAAATTATATTTTACAATTTTTTATTTTTAATATTAAAAATCATAAAATTATAATTTTATAAAAAATTAATTTTAATATTAAATACATTAAAATTATAATTTTTTAAAACTTTGTAAAAATCAATACAAAATAAATAAATAGTGACGGAGGGGTTAAAACGGCGATAAACCATCTTAACCGGAGCGTTATCCGTACTCTCTAAGTGGAGTAACGACATTTCAGGCAAAGGAGAGAGAAATTAGATTAGACAGATTATTGATTTATTTTCATTTTTAAAATATAAAAAATAACAAATTAAAAAAAAAATACAGAAGAGAGCGGAACCTGGGGCCTCAGCTTCAACAAAAACAACCATCAGCAGACAATGACTCTCTGAAATACGCGTTCCGATAAGGTTTTCTTTTGTTCGTTATTGTCTTTATATTTGTAAAAATAGATTTGCTTTTTTTTTTTTTGCTTAGATCTTCTTTGATCTAGCTTTCTCTGTTTCTTTTTCTTTTTATTTTTTTTCACTCAAATTTAATAGATTTAAACGTTTTGTTAGTTTCTCTACCTTTTAAAACCATTTTTTTTTTTGTCTTAGAAGTTTTTTGTGATCAATTTTTTTCTGTTTTTTAAATTTAAATTAAAGGTAATTTCTGTTGTGATTAATTTTCATTTCTTTAGTGATACTGTTTTTATTTTTTTATTTTTTATTTTTTGCTTCATGAAGATCTTGATCTGGTAAGTTGAAACTGAGTTTGTTTGTTCTGGTTCAGTTACTTCACTTCATTTCTGAGAAAATCTAGCTAGGCAGAAAAAGGTGAAATAAGAATTGAATTTTGAACTTTACTTTTTTTGGGGTTTCATTTTTATAGTTGCATTTGCTTAGTTCAAGTGAAATAATAGGAAAAAAAAAGTTTTAGAATCTTCATTATCTTTTACTGTTCTCTGCATTTCTTGCCAGCTGCCAAACAGAGCATTAGGGTTTTTTGCCCTATTTATTTTATCATATAAGCTCTCTTATTAGTTATTAGCTTATTTCCTCTTTGTTTTGTATATTTAATTATGTTTTTTTTAAGTGAACTTTGTTGCTAGATCTTTGATTCTTTACCAAAATTGGGTATGATTTAATTTATAGGAGTTTCCTTTGTATTGTGAAAAGCTGCTGTGGTTTCTGAAAGCTTTTTGTAGCTCCTCTTTTTATCATTAGGTAGATCGTTGTTCAATCTCTTGTAGCTTGCTTCTGGAAGTGAATGTCTTTTGATTCTCTTATAACAAGTTTCTTGTTTACAATGGATACCTTTATTTATTTATTTGGGGCATGTGATTCCTTCTTGCAAAATATGGTCAGTTATATTATGCTTTGCCTTACGTACTACCAAGATCTTTGCGTTTTATTTTTCTTCAATTTTGCACTCTTGAGATGCCTTTTGGTTCCATGCAATAATACCCATACGCTTGTAGTATTTGATTATATTTCTCCTTTGTAAGTATTTATTTTTTATTGTTGATTTACAGTTCATAGCTTTAATTGATGTTCCCTATGTAAGATATTTTCTATATGTAGATTGGCCTTTTTCACATACAGTCTAATGAAAACCTGGTTCCGGAAATGGTAACCTACTAAAAATTGCAATCAGGATCAAGGTCATAATATCTGTTTTTCACAAATGCAATAATGGAAATGATGGAACATGGGTTACAGTTTACTGAAGTAATGATTAATGTCAACAATCGTTTTTGCTACGTAACGGCATTTTACAACGTGTTTATGTATGATTTATGGTCAAGTTGACATGGATTATAGTACCGGCTAGTTACAACTGTCCATTGGTGTTGCTGTCAGAAATAATCATCTATAGGAGAAAAAAAGTGTTATAAGAAGTAAAGCAGCCTATAGTTTTTAAGTTAATCCTGTTTGTTACTCTTATTTCAGGAAATGTCTGCACCAGTTATTGAGGGCAACGATCAAGTCACAGGCCACATCATTTCCACCACTATCGGAGGCAAAAATGGTGAACCAAAAGAGGTTGGCATCCAATCTGCTTTCCATTTTATACCTTCTTACTGTATTCCTTTTTATATTATGTCAGATTACATACTCTTATTTGAAGTTAAAATATTAATTGTCTATTTTCCCTGAAAACTGATGATTGCCATGTAAGTATTGTGGTTGTTTTAGATGATTTCTCATTTTTCTTCTTTTGTTCTATCTAAGCATTGTATATAACCTAATTGAGAACCAAGACTTAAAAATTTGCTGATGTTTGTTTGTTTTCTTCTGTGGTTTTTTGGTTCTTCTGGTTACTTGATAGTAGTTTCTTTCACAATTGCTTGCAGACCATCAGTTACATGGCAGAACGGGTTGTTGGCACCGGGTCATTTGGAATTGTTTTTCAGGTGCAAACATCTATGCTTCCGGACTAGTTGACAATGAAGTAAATTCCAATCTTTTTGGTCAATAATAATGAGTTCCTTATCTCACTGATCTACAGGCAAAATGCTTGGAAACTGGTGGGAGCGTGGCAATAAAGAAAGTCTTGCAAGACAGGCGGTATAAAAACCGTGAACTGCAATTGATGCGCTTAATGGATCATCCAAATGTAGTGTCTCTGAAGCACTGTTTTTTCTCCACCTCAAGTAAAGATGAGCTTTTTCTAAATTTGGTTATGGAGTATGTTCCTGAGACTCTGTACGGGTGTCTCAAGCACTACAGCAGTGTGAACCAGAAAATCCCCCTCATCTATGTGAAACTCTACACATATCAAGTATGGATTACTTTCTTTCTGGACATTTTGTTTATTAACTTCTAAATCCTGATAATAAATGGAAAACGTAACTCAGATTTTTAGAGGGCTGGCATATATACATGCTGTTCCAGGGGTTTGCCATAGAGATGTGAAGCCTCAAAATCTTTTGGTATGCTTTCTTTCGATTTTTTTCCTTTTTCAGTTTTCAGCAATATCAACTTTTCCCAACCTAATACGTGTGAATTCTTTAGGTTGATCCTCTTACCCACCAGGTTAAGCTTTGTGATTTTGGAAGTGCAAAAGTCTTGGTATGTGCGTTCCCTTATTATTGTTCACCTGTGTCTCTCAATTAATGATATACGCCATGAAGTGATAACTGTTTCCTGACACTTTCTAGGAAATTGCAATTTATTCTGTTGAACTTAATTATATGTGAGCCTTAAATCACAAGTTGCTTTTTCCTGTTTGTATCATGGATGTACTCTCAATTTTCTATGTTTGCATTGCATACATGTGGGCTATTTATTTTTTCTCTATGTCGAGAAATCCGTTTCGTGATTAATGTTTACTTAGGCTGTTGCTCAGCTGCAGCATCATGCAGGGTAGCCTTGGTTATGCTTTCCCTTTGGAACTTGTTTATTGTGCCTGTTCAATTGGATGGATGGGGCATTTTAATTCTTGATAAATGTATCTCTAAGTTTACACACATTTCAATTATGCTTAGACTGTTTGCTGCTAACTATTTTTTTTCAGAGAGGCCATGTGCAGAAGCAACTCTTGCTGTGGGCGACATCTTTGAAATCTTTTTTTTACTGGAGTAGCATTTTTTTTACAAGTTTGGATCTTCTTAGATAGTCATAAATGTGTCCCTAACTGAGGTGTTGTATGTTGTTTTCTGTTTTATGTTTCACTGACTTCTCTCTAATACATTTTTCATGGTTTCCATCAGGTGAAGGGTGAAGCAAACATATCGTATATATGTTCTCGTTACTATCGAGCTCCGGAACTCATATTTGGTGCTACAGAATACACGATGTCAATTGATATATGGTCTGCTGGTTGTGTGCTTGCCGAGCTTCTTTTGGGCCAGGTTAGTAACTTCCATGGTGATCTTCACAGAGCAGTTACTAACAATTTTCTAAATGCTACTCAAAGCCATCTTCGATAATATCTTGTTTGCTTTTCTTTTTTCCTTAGCCTTTGTTTCCAGGAGAAAATGCGGTTGGCCAACTTGTAGAGATTATCAAGGTTGAAGGCGTGCTACTAATGTTTTATGTTATTGAGGTTCTTGTAAGTTATTAGTCTTATAATTGGGTTTATAGTTGTCCTCTTGTAGGTTCTTGGTACGCCAACACGAGAGGAAATTCGATGCATGAATCCCAACTATACAGATTTCAGATTCCCTCAGATCAAAGCCCACCCCTGGCATAAGGTATCCTTTTTATTATTTGCATTCTGGATTACGAATGTGGCTTAATAGTTTTGGAATATGTATTTAGAGCTGGCATAAAATATGTGGATCTTTTTTTTTTTTTTAAATAAAGAAAGTGTGCCTCTGCTAGAAGTGTGTGAGAAATGGATAATGCCATTACAAGATAAGGTATTACTTTGGACTGGGATTTCTTTTTCAATATTTTTATAGTTGACTATGTGTATAATAATGTCCTCGGTTCAGGTTTTCCACAAGCGTATGCCTCCCGAAGCAATTGACCTTGCATCACGCCTTCTTCAATATTCACCGAGTCTTCGATGTACTGCAGTGAGTTAACTTTTCTTTATTTGAATAGTAAAGATGCAGTTAACTTCTGCCTTTTTTCGATGAAAATTTATCACCATGCTCCAAAGTTAAAAGGCTATATTTGTGAGAAATTATGTCATTTAATTATTATACTAAAAAAGATCTCTTGTCAGGACTGCAATATTTTCTGTGTTTCAACATGAAGATTCTGGCATGTCTTCGATATTTTTCATTTAATGATGTGAATGCTTAGTGTATTTCTTACAAGCTTGTTCTATATTTTGTTATTACAGCTAGAAGCATTAGCTCATCCTTTCTTTGATGAGCTCCGTGAACCTAATGCTCGCCTTCAGAATGGCCACCCTTTACCCCCACTTTTCAACTTTAAACAAGAAGTATGTCTCTCATTATCTTTTTTATTTTTTATTTTTATTATTTTACTTTCATGCAGTTTTGATGTTTAGCACTTGTATTGTTGACTGTTTGCATGCCTACTAGATTGTTTGGATCTCTGGAAGCCAAGCAGTTTGTGCACTTTAAATGAGAGAAGCACATTAATACTGTTGATTGAAGAGATTTTTGGTCCTCGACTTTCTTAGTTCAGCATCTGCAATTCTATTATTAACATAAGACCCTTTCTTTTGTAGCAGTTGGTTTTTTCTTTTCGGTTTTATCGGCTCCTGTGTTCTCAACCTCTCGTGCATTTGAGAACATTTTGCATGAAACATCAATGGGATTGCATGCATTCATCAATGCATGATGTTTTTTTGGAATTTTCTTTGGTTTAATCCATTCTCGTTGGGCATTCTTATTTTCTTGTTTCTGGTAGTCACTTATCCGTTGACTTTTCATGTCTAATTCATTTTTAGTTAGCTGGAGCTTCCCCTGAGCTAATTAACCGGCTGATACCTGAGCATGTGAGGCAGCAGGTAGGTCTTGTTTTTCCACATCCAGCTGGTACGTAAATAATTAAATGCGATACAAGGAACCAACTCTTCTATTAGCGGATGGATTCAAAGCAAAGGATGGACCTCCTGGTCATTAAGCCAAGCTTTTGCCCTATTCAGTGGATTTCTTGCCCCACAAAGGTGCATGCAGATACTGCCTTTCCTGGCTCAACATGGAAGTTGGCGATATCTGTCTACTACGTAATTTTAGCTATAACATACTTTGTTCCCTTGCTTTTGTACATTGTTTTGATCGGTAAAATCCAAGAAGCTAGGAGTATAAAAAGGTGATGGAATCCATGTCAAGCTCGGTAAAGGGCTTTAAATAGCCCAGCAGAAGCTGAAGGTAGTTCGGCTGGCTTCTTAAACATCCTGCCATTTATTTTTTCATTTGCGGCATGTGAACATAAGCTAGGTTTCATCAATACAAGTCATCTTTTCTTTTTTCCATTGTCGAGTTACTTTGGCATTTGCATAGTTTTAAGTTTTGCTTGGAACCTTATAAATGGCATTACGAACTTATACTGGAGGTTTTTTTTTTTTTTTTTGTGGGGGCGGGGGGGGAGGTTCGTTTGGTTAACGGAGCAGCCACGCAAGAGATCGCCAAGAATTTTCCTCTGGCCCTTTGATTGACAAAGGGCTACAAGTATCAGTGAGGCATGATCCAAAAAAATACGAAAGCTATATAATTTAAAGTTTTTACAAGAATTATATATAAATTTGATAAAATAATATGTTTTGTGTCTAATATATTAGCACAAATTGTTATATAGTAATTTTTGTATTTTATGCATTTAACATGAAATAAACATAATATAAATATATGAATTGTGAGATCTTGTATTTCCGGATGACTTTAACTAGATCTTGTGTTTATGTATGACCTTTACGAGATCTTGTGTTTATGTATGACCTTTACTACTTTAGTCTGTACTAAGAAACTCCTCTTATTAAAGTTGAAAGATCAGCTTGACGCAAAATTTGTCGTCATTTTATTCACGAATAAGTTCTGCTGCTGGTAATTTGTTTCCACACTGCTACGAACCTCTAAAGGAGCTGGCCATAATACCATAGAGAAATTTAGTGGTGAGTAATTAAGTAGACTAAGTATTGAGATAGAAGTATAGATCTTAGGCATCAACTTTAGCTAGCTGCCATGAATCCCTAATTACATTGTTTTGTTTCTCGTGAAATTAGCAAGCAAGATACATAGGACTCGCATTATTCAATGTTCTAACTAGGCTTTCAAAAATGAAAAAAACTATAAGGACTTCCCAACACCGATTGTCATTGCCCTTGCTAAATCAGATGTGATCTAATGTTTACCTGTCTATTCTAGTAATAAATCAATGAAGAAATAATGCACAAACCTTAAAAATTTTGTACAAATAAGAGTGTTTGTTATGATAATGGGGCATCGACTTCTAGAATAATTTTCTTCTTTAGTATTCTTGATCTAGTTTTATAAAATTTTCACTATCTTTTCTTTTGTACTCCCTTGGTAATTGCTATCAAAACCTTAGGTTGTACATATAGTGCAGATATATAAATAGATTCTAGTTGGAGTTCTCTTTGCAAGACTTTTTTTTTTTAGTATTTTATGCAGTTTTTTATGTTCTTGATTTTATGTTCAAAACATTTATTGTCTTTGTGTAGGCATTTTGGCTTTAAAGTAGTCTCTTACACTAGTTTTAGGAGATATTCACAAGGTAATCATATGATTTTAAATACCAAGAACATGTAACAACAAGTAGAAAATTGTGTTTGTCCAAAAAATTTTCTTAATCATATCTTATATATTGAGCCTCAATTAGAAAACCATACACCTACAAATAGCCACAGTATAAATGGTTTAACAAACTTATCAACTTCTTTCTTTAAAAAACTATTTAATAAAGTAAACATATTAGAAGAAAAATAGATAGTTTAGAACAAGTTATTAGTTTAGATTCAAACCAAGAATCCAAATAGTTATATTAGTAACTATTAACCAAAATTAGATCTTTGGATGTATATAAAAGTCAAACAAATGACTTTGGACCATTATATTATGGAAATACTATACTTATACCTATACTTACACTTAATGACGATAAACCATCATCATCTCAAGCATCACAATTTTCTAAGACAAAAAAGTTTGATTTTAAATCTTATAAAACATTTTACATATAAAATATAAAAAGTAACTATTCTTAAAGAAATAATTGATTATTTAAATATGATAGAAGGACTTTATGAAATTGATAAAAAACTTTTTTAAAAATTTAATTATTATTATATACTTAATTATGATACTACAGCTGAAAGTAGTACAGATGAAGAAGATAAAATAGATACAATTTTAACTATTAATGTAGTAGTAAAAAAAGAAACTAGTAGCACAAAATCTTCATCTTTTGAAGTTGTAGATGAAGATATCGATATTAAATCTATACGTATGGATCTTGATCAACAAAAGATTGATAAAGGAAAACAAAAAGTAGGAGAAATTTCTAACTAAGAAACAAATAATTCAAATAGGTTTGAAAATAGAACTGAAGATGATATTTATAAAGATGAAATAAAACAAACTGGAACCTATTTTGGAGCTATTAGAGAACCTATATTGTAATCTAGTTTTATAGAATCTTTAAACAAAGAAATGTAGCTTAAGGAAGTACGTATTTAGATCTTTCAAAAGTCTCCATTAATGACTAGAAAAATCATAAATGATTGGGCACAATCTATGACTATTGTAGTAAACAACTATAAAAACAGTTGGTTTTAAATTATTTTTGTGAAACATTTCAAAGATACGTTTTACAGTTTTTAAGAAAATGGGAAATTCCTTAAAAAGGAAAAGCTAAAAAGGTAACTTTTATAAATCAAATTATTACTATACCAAATTTGTTAAAAAATATAACAAATTCACTAAAAAATGAATTTTGTGAAATATTAGAACTAGTTAATCAAAACAGTGAAGCTAATTATAGATTAACAATGATAAAACTTTGTGATATAAGACAGTTAGAAGAATTTTTTAAAAAATATATTAATGAATACCAAAAATTGGATGAAACACATTCAACATTTTGGAAATAACTATATTTTCATAAATTACCATTATCTTGGGATAAACTCTATAATCAACAATACACGAGATATCTAAAACCCCACGATCCCACAGTAAAAAATAGAGATTATTTAGACTCTATAGGAAATAAAGTTTATTTTATTTCTAAACAGATCATAGAACATTACATTAAAGCAAAGGCTGCTAAGTAAGTTAAAAGTAGATTAAGTGATAAACAGTACACAAAGATATTAAATAACGAATGCAAATTCAGTTGTAAATCTCAATCTAAAACCTATTCTAAGAAATACAAAAAGAAAAAAAAAAAGATATAAATTAGTTAAATGGAAGCCATAAAAGCATTAGTTGAAAAAAAATTGTTAGAAGAAAAACTTCTAAAAAGAAATCCAAATGTAAATGTTTTATTTGTGATGAAGAAGGTCTTATTGCCAAAGATTACCCCCAACAAAGGGAAAAGTGCTAAAAAAGTTATTAAAACTCTAAAAGAAAGATATTTAAAAATTTACTTTGGAAAAGAATTTCAAAAAATGAAATTGTTTATGAATTAATCTCTGAAACATATTTAGATTAAGAAAAAGATAGAGTATATTTTTATGATAAGCAATAGTAATATTTTTGAAACTAATAATCAACTTAGTTCTAAAACAATTGAGATACATATTGAAGAATAACAAATGACAAAATTAAATGATGTTTTAGGTCAAGAACTTAATATTTTAGATGATAAGCTAGAAAAACTACAATCACTAAAAAATAGGAAATATAAGCTTTCTATTTTTTTTTTTGTTTAAACCTTGAGTTCAGATACATATAGAAAAATTTAGTGGAAACACTATAGCTAATGATTTTAATCAAGGATTAGTAATATTCCACTATTTACTAAAGAAAAATTTAGAAGAATTAAACAAAAATATCCTGAAGTTAGATATATTCATTTCGAAATTATAATGATAATTATTGAATTGTTATTAAGAACTAGTAATGATACTCCAATTATAGCAGTTCTAGTAGATAAAAGATTTGAAAATCCTATGAAAGCTCTAATAAGAGGAATTCAATCAAATTTGGTAATAGAAGTAGTCTGGTTTAAAGTAAAGCCAAATTACTTTATCTCTATTAATGATACATCAATAGAAGATTGCCTTAGACTTTGAATAATGACAAAACAATCAGGACTTCAAAATATGGCTCATGATTTGTTTATTAATTAGACTGCCATAAATGAATTCACAAATCAAACATATACATCTACTAAAGAAACAGATTCTAAGATTATAAAAAATTTTGGACCTAGATCTTTTGATTCAAAAATCAAACCAAGATTAATGAATTTTAAAGATTTGTCAATACCAATTGGATGGTTATTAGAAAGAATCACAAAACATACTCCTTCTAATAGAAGAATTAAACCTATAGAATTTTTTCCTCAGGAAATAACCTATATTTTAAAAACCTTGATAGTAGTAGTTCAAGCATAAATCTAGTTCTACCTTCATCCTCTTTAATACCTTCTTTCTCAAGTAGAGAAAATGAAGATCCTAAAAATATAGCAAATAAGCAATCATTTAGTTCACATAGACCTTCCTTTCATTTGCAATCTCAAATAGGAATAAAAAATGTTAATATACCTATTTTTTCAAGAATTAGCCTCGGAAACAATTAAGAAAACTTTGTTTACAATTCTGTAAACTTAGTATTAAATTTTGTTTCCTCTAGAAGCACAAGTTATAAGAAGTCTTACCATTATAACTCTATATAAAATTCGAGATGATGAAGTTATTATGTTTTCTAATAATCAACTAAAAGGCATTATAATTATATTCAGCAAAATTTAAATTTATAAAGTATAAGTCATATTATTTAAATGTTTTAATAAATATGGGTGTCACTATATGTAATTGTAGAAGTAATACTTTACCATTAGAAAAATGGGAACCAATGAAGCATTTTGTAGTGGTAATAGAAATAGATGGTAAAGAAACCATAATAGGTTATTAAAACAAAAAAATAATATAGAATCAATTTACTTTATGAATAAAAAATTTATAACTCAAAAATTTTATGTTTCCTTTTATACATGAAGTTATATTATTAGGAAATAACTTTGTAGATAGCTATTCACTTTTTTTCTTAAATTCTAATAATATAATATTTACTATAGATAAAGAATATGTAGAAATTCCTTTACTTAAAACTCATAAGCATATATGTAATTTTAGTTTTTGCCCTAAAACCAAACAGGTAGAAGTTAAACCAATTAGTGAAAAACATTGGTTATTTAAAATACCACAAGAAACTTTTAGTGAAGAATCGCTAAAACTATTGTCTCAAAGCCTTAGATTTTGTAATGTATAAATCTTAGATTCTAATAAAATAATTAGAGTCAAACCAATGATCTATACTAAATAAGATATAGATGAATTTGATAATATAGATTACTGAACTTTT